TACTGCCCAAAGACGGCTGGGATGGGCTCCAGCATCCCCCGCGATCCTTGTGAGGATAAAGCTGATCGGAAAATGGATGGATGGACGTTTCAGAGCCTGAAAAAGCAAACAATTTGATGGATGTCCGAGTGGACATTTTAAAAACAACTCTCGTCCTTAATTACTGAAAACGTGGACATTTTCCCGTTTTTCGGCATGCCCTTTACGTTTATCGTTCACGACTGACGGAGCAGAAATGATTATTGGAAGAAAGTTGGAATTACGGTTCGACACTGAGGTTATGAGCGACACTTGAAAAAATGCTCGATGGGGCTTTTGGAAGGGGAAGAAGAAATCCGTTCTTAGCGATGCAAGAAACTTATGTCAACACAGGTGGGAGAACCCCCCCGGAAGAAAGCGAGATGACTGGATAAGACAAAGCGAACTGAATGGACTATCTGGGCCGCAGAGGAAAAGAAATACAACTTGACAGTTGACTTTCCGGGACTCTTATGAAACCTCGACTGGTATTGACACAGGTGAGGGAACCCTTGAGAAGAAATTGTAACGCCTGGCCGAGATCAAGGCAAAACTCGGAAGACACAGGTGGAAGAACTTCGGGAAAAGCAGAGAGATGTGCAGTCAAGGGCCTGCTGGGGGAGGAGTGGGGTGGGGGGTGGGGGGTGGAAACCACAAGTTGCAAATAAAACACATGGCTGCACAGTCAATAAGCTTCAAGCGAAGATGCGCACAGGTGGAAAGTTCACATTCGGGGGTTTGGAAACAAACAAAAACAAAAGCCATCTGGAGCCGACCGACCGCTTGCATCATTACTGCGCTGATCGCCGCGAACGAACGGCAGCGCTTGTTTTTTTTTTTCCGTCGAAAACGCTGCACCTTCAACTGTGACAACAACAATGCCTCCCACTCCATAACAGACCTGGCAGAGGCCTTTGCTCTGGCCTGTGGGCTTGCGTTCACGTGCGTGCCAAACAACAACGCGTTGAGGAATGACTCATTTGGAGTGTTTTGCTCCCCTCTCGCTCTCTCGGAGAAGCAATATCTCGGTGGTGGTGCTTATCACAAACATGTCACTCAACATGTGCAGCCGCGTCTTATCCATTGCAAAGTGACCACAGCATCTATCAGCTCCTGACCGATTGGCGGTGATGAATAGCCGCTTGTAACGCCGAGTAACAAGCCGAAGCGTTCATTTCGCTTCCCGCGTTGTTTTGTTGCTTTGCACTGCTGCCACGGAAGAAAACACAATTATTGGTTGAGATCCCCAAAAAAACGCAAATTGCAGGCCGGTCGATAAGACGGAAAACTACAACAGAAGAACGGAAATCTCCATTTTTCACTCGAAAAATCCTGCTTTGTTTTTTTTTTGTTTTTTTTGTTGAAAGGAATAATTAGGAGCACATGTGTCTGCTCTCATAAGCGCCGACGTCTCTCAGATTTTGCTCTCGTAGGAGGATGCAGTAGCGGTTCCGATTCAGACTTCTTTGGGGATAATTGATTGTATTTGACGTGGAGGACGCCCGGCGTACCGGTGCAGATCAATCCAAACCGGTATGACGAGGAAAAAAGGAGTGAGGGCGAGTGGAGGTGTTTATTTAATCTTCCTTAATTGCTGGAGACGGATGAGCTTCTCAGGAGGAAATTTGGTGCGTTTGGAACAGAGGTCAGCATGGGTCAAAAGTGATCTCTCTGTCGGTTTTATGACGTTCGATCATTACTTTTTGAGGTTAATGGAAAGAGTTTCAGTGCAAGAGAAATTGAGAGTGTTCTGTAAGTGTTCTCTTTCAAATGTATTTCTACCTTCGGAATTCGGTCGTAAACCGAGGACAGGAAGTACGGGATGGAAAACAATTCAGAGTATGGACGGTGGTCACATATGAACATGCAGTTGCGGTCTTTGTCTTTGAAAAAGGATCAGGATCTATTTCAGTGGTGTCAAACATACGGCCGGCGGGCCGAAACCGGCCCCCAAGGAGGTTTGGTCCGGCCCGCGGGATCATTTAAAAGTGGGGAAAAAATGCATTAAAGACAAAATGAATCTTTTAAATAATATGTAATTCGTGGATTATCTGCTAGGGGGCACGCTGTTTTGATCACAGTAGAAGACAACATTGTTTTGATCGGGGAAGAAAATAGCAGTCTCAGTCTGTCACCGAGATAGACCCAACGCAGCAAATGATATGAAAGTGCCAATCAATGCTTCTTGAGACCAAAACAAAGGAAAGAGATGATATTTTGGTGATTCATAGCACAGTATGGTATAATGTTAATGGTTCGGCCCACTTGACATCTCCCGAGTCCGTATGTGGCCCACAATGTGAAATGGGTTTGACACCCCTGATCTATTTCATCGACACATTTTTCGTTCACGTCGACACATTTTTAAAAAGATATTTTCCGAGCGGCCCGCGTCAGTAAACAGCAGATGGCGTGGAAGGCCCGTTTTAGCACCGTCGCTTTAGTCACCTCTACCCACCTGAATGACCTGCGTCGAGCTCGGCAACTGATGCGGAAAGAGAAATAAAAAAAGGGACAAAAACGAGGAGGTGAAAGTTTGCCGTTATTTAGCGCGGTTCCACTCGACGGCCGCGCGCCCATTTGCCATGCACGGTAGAATTCGCTTGTTTATCGGCTTTGTGATTTCCTTCGCCGCTGACATTTCAGACGCACATGATCCATGACTGATGATGATGATGATGATGATGGCGATTGTGGCGTGCCATCAAAACAACAGAGAGGGAAAGTCTTTGGGCCTGTGTTGTCCTCTAATTAAATGTACAATGTTTAGTGTTGCGCTGGATGAGGACAATTTGGTTTTTATGCTTCCAAAAAGGTAACCTTGAACAATTGGACATGCTTTGGGAGACGCACGGCACATTACTGACCATGTCGCGTCTAACAGTAGGAAATTGGTTGTTCCAAGGTGAATCCGTTTCAACTTCTTTTTATGGCCATGGCGCGCCACCCGACTGAATTTTGGGAACAACGCTCTGAAAAACAAACCCTCAGCCATTCATGACTCGTGGAAAGTGAGGGCACCTAATGAGAGTCAAGATTCTCTCTGCTCGCTTTGCAATCTTGCATATATGTTTGATTTCCCGAACATGCGCCAGGGAGTATGCGCAGTACCATATTGTCGAGAGACAAACACAACCCAGAGGGAAATTACCTATCAGAAAGGCAATACCGTTACTTGAGATGCAATTACTAGACCACGTGCAGGATTTTCGGACTGGAAACCGATGACCGTGTGTGCGTGCGCCAACGCCTGTGCGTGAGCGGGTGGCCGATATGCGCATAACCGCATCTTATGTTTTGACGGCTAAATTGGATCCTTCAGCAGAGAAGACTTCATTGAGAATGTGTCCACGCCGCAAGTGATTGATGCAACTATATCGTTCCGAGTGGAGCTCCGAAACAAGGTGGAGGCGAGCGCGGTGATATCATAAGCGAGCGGGCGGGGGAGGAAAAGGAGAAAAGCCGCTCTTACAAAGAGAATTATGGTAACTTTTCCTCATTTCCCGAGACGGTAACAGACGCCGTAATTGCACTTTGCGCCGCTCGTTTACGCGCTCATTTAGCGAGCGATCGCGACTTGTGAGGCGGCGCTTTGAATTGCGCTTTGCAGAAAAGTCGGCGCGTTCCCGTTTCTGATCAGTTAAATAAGAGTCATAGAAGATCTAATGGGCCAATTTAGCGGCGGGATCACAAGACTCCACAAAAAGGATTTTTCATATGTTCTCAAAATAGTGAGATGTGATACATGAGAAAAAAAAAATACTACCTTTGACCAGTGCAGTCTAGTGCGAGGCTGTATTATTAGTGGGACCGAAATAGAAATGGCGATGCCGCTGCTATTGCTGCGTTTGCCACCAGGGTGAGATGAGCACTGGCGGCCGTGGCAAATGGCTTTCCGCGGGACCTATTCCTCAAGTGAGAGACGTTCCCATTGTACGACAAATAATCACTTTCAATCTCTTAATGAATCACGTCTTCCTTCAATTCCTTCAATGAGCAAACGGCGACAAGACCCGCTCGCACCCGCTGCAAAGAGAGAGGAGGGAGGGTGGGGGAGGGCAGCGAATAAAGCTGCCAGCACAGAGTGTGAGCATAGCATGCATAATAAATGTATGACAAAACAATACCCCAGGCGCCCCGGTATTAATGATATGCAGCCGACTCATTATTAAAGTTCCAAAACAGCTCCTGGAGTAACACAGATGGAGTCAATTAAGCAATGAGCACGCTCGCTCGGCTGCCGTTTCATCTTCTTGTCTTTTATCTGCTGCACATTACTCCATGGATGTAATTATTTGAACTACTATGATGTGTTCAACATAATACGCGGCGTTAAAAGTTGCGATTGCTTTGTTTGTCTTTTTTATTCGTAGCCGGTCTTCACTAGCGGACAGGAGAATTCGTTGAGTCACGATTTTTTTTTTCTTCCCACGATTATTCTGTCAAGGAAGCCAGTTTCACTTGGTCAAATGAAATTTGGTAGATATGCCTATCATGAGTAGACCCACAAAAAAAAAAGTTTCAGAAGCCATGGCCCAAAAGACACATGGAATTTGTCATTTTGCTTTAAAGCAACAAATCCTTGAAAAAAAAAAACTCCCTCCAAATTCCGTTTCGGTTAGAAACAAGAAACTTGGTCGGCATGCACACCATGAGAAGACCCACAAAAAAAAAAAGTCTCAAGAAACTAATTTAGCCTTGAAGCATCAATATTAGCGTAATTTTGTGCATTTCCAGCGGGCCTTCAAAAATGGCCTTGCCTTAAAGACAGATTTACTAGCAACCAAACGGGGCCGACAGATTTTGTCTGACTCCGATCATAATGGAAGCACGTACGTAAGACAAAACCCGTCTCAATAGCAAAGGATGAGTTTTCCCAATTGCGTGTGGGTGGAGCATTCCAGTGATGGCTGAAACCATCGGTACCTTTCGGGCTGCACACTAAGATGCTTTTTTTTTTTTTGTGTGCGTTTCCTTCCCAGAGACCTGATGCCTTCAACGCTGGAGGGGCAGATCACCATGGAGAAGACCCCCAGTTACTTTGTGACCAACCAAGCTCCCAAGCGCATCCACACCATGGCCAGGGACATCAAACTCATTATCGTGGTGCGTAATCCCGTCACCAGAGCCATTTCGGACTACACGCAAACTCTGTCCAAGAAACCCGAGATCCCGACCTTTGAGGTTCTCGCCTTCAAAAACCGAACCCTGGGGCTCATAGATGCTTCGTGGAGCGCTCTGCGCATCGGAATATACGCGCTGCACCTGGAGAGCTGGATGCAGTACTTCCCTCTTTCCCAAATGCACTTTGTCAGCGGCGAGAGGCTCATCGTGGACCCCGCGGGCGAGATGGCCAAAGTCCAGGACTTTTTGGGCCTCAAGAGGATCGTCACAGACAAACACTTTTACTTCAACAAGACGAAAGGTTTCCCTTGTCTGAAGAAGCCCGAGGACAGCAGCACTCCCCGCTGTCTGGGCAAGTCCAAAGGGAGAACTCACCCCAAAATCGAGCCGGACGTCATTCGGCGACTGCACAAGTTCTACAAGCCCTTTAATATGATGTTCTACCAAATGACAGGCCAGAACTTTGAATGGGAGCAACAGGAAGAGAGCATATCTCGAGGTTCTCTGGTCTAACAAGGACCTGTCACCACAAGCCTTCTCGATGAAATAAAAACACTCCTCTTCTGTTCCGTGTTCAGAGGGCATGCTTGGACACAATCACGGCACTTTCCGTTTGCCCCCCCCACTCCCGCCCCCCCCTTCAAAACTAACGTTGCCGATGATGGCTGGCAGATAACTATTGTACATACCAAAACATCAAATATATTTATATTTGTGAAAAAGAGATGATCTTTTTGTTTGTTTTCAAAGCATAATGTTGACTTTTTTTTTTCTTTATGATAACTCACAGAAGTATGTGACGTCATGACATGGTGGTGACACTGGCTAACCCGCAAAAAAAAAAAAAAAAGTTTATCGTTACAATAAAATGACTACTGCCAACCTCTGAAGTGACAAGGCAACGCAATTCAACCGTGCTGTTATTTTCAACGAGTCCCACTTCTGACCCGATCGTCAAAATGGGAGTGGTAATATTTCTGTCAATTCAAGAAGCCATTACACTTTGAGCGATGGCGTCCGTCTGCCAGCTGTATGACGGGAGCTGAAGGCAAACGTCAAAGAGCAAGTTAAATGTTCCATAAACTTCAGGGATTATTGCTGATGTCCATATATCAGCTAGAGAACCATATTGATTTTGAAAAGCACCAGTATTGTGGTCCAGAGGTCTTAAGTCACTCTTTGACTCAACGTATTTATTTCAAATTATATGCAACAGAGATACGTAAGGTCAAGTATTATGTTACTTTCTTTTTTTTTGATCAACTTGACAACATGTGATTGAAATGTTAAATTTGCAAGCATTAAGTCCTATTTTTGCTCATTTCCGAATGAGAATGTAATTTCACTGCACATGGGCCGATAGATATTTAAATGCAACGGTTAAATGGAAAGTTTTAGTGGTTTCCAAAGCGTGACATTTCAAAACCTCATCAGCTGGCCCGCTAGCCCTGTGAGGATGAATGTGAACTACTATTGGTTCAAAGAAATGTTAGCTCATGGAACAAATAGAACAATTGTGCTTGTAAATGGAAGTCAACGCTTCTGATAATGTTTTTATGCCGGCCTCACCATCACTGGCTAAAGGTGAGGATTACAATGCTTGCTGATGAGTTCTTAAAGTGTCCTTACCTCTCACTTTCATTCCTTAGCACCTAAAACCAGAAATTTCCATGTGTCCTTCCTTTGGGAGAAAAAAGATACAATTATTAGTTGCATGATGAGGAAACACTCTCCTTCGCACACACAACAACCTTGTTGTTTACCAATGCGTTAATGTGCTCACTATTCCCGCCGCGTCGCACTCATTAGCGGCGCCCATATTGAATAAGAGCACTGACGTATCATGAGCATTAGCCGATAATTGGAGTCTCTCTGCGTGGTTGACATTAGCATACTGATGACCGCGTGCGGCAAAGATGTGTTGACGCCGCCGCGTCGCGCGTTAAATTGCTAACCGCTAATTCTCCTCCGTGGTAGCTGGGAGATGCTAATAATGACAAGAACGCAGGCACATTCATCGCAATGGCTCATAGCAAGCCGCAGCTACCGTGAAAATATGCCCCCTGTTGGCTGTGATTAGCATGGCAAAGACATTTTTCGTTCCTGAAATATCCACAGAATTTTTTGTCCCTTAATTGGTTGACAGAATTGTAACAAAAAAAATATATATATATATGCATCATGAATGAAATACAGTTGTTGAACACTACTCATGTGCGCCGTTAACCACGACATTGCTGTCACTTAATTACAAACTACCAGATCAGCTGGTGGACTTTTCCCTAATAAACATAGAACTATTACATACATTATATTAGCATTTTATTGTTTTAAGGATGAGTGCATTTTACACAATGAACAACATTTGATGCCTATCCATGTTGTGATGTCTCCCACTACTTCGCCACAACTCATGCATTTGTCTCATGCCGAAACTCAAATCTGGGTGATGCTTAATGGAATATAGCACTTTTATAATAATAAATAGTGAACAACCGATGGACACTATTTTTTAAAGATGCTGTTTTGGACACTGTACACTCATTTTTTGTCGCGGGCCACATTGTAGTTTGCCTTGGAGGGCTGTTATGAATTTTGGGAAACCATATAAATGTTTAATCACCTCCACATATTACATACACAGCACACAACAAATTGATGAATAACTAGTTTTAAAATCAGAAGTCTAGAATAATGACAATTATTGTGGATTACAGATGACAATCATCTTGGAACTTGACATGCTTGATTTGCTTTCACAGGCCACAGAAAATGATGTGGCGGGCCAGATTTGGCCCCCGGGCCTTGACTTTGACACCAGTGCTGTGCACTATATAGGATAAGTTACAGTACAGTACTTACTACAAATTCAATGTGCATTCTGTCACGTTTGCGAGGTGGTAGGTAGAGGACCCCAAAAAGCAGGGAGGCAGGAGGAGCAGGGTGGGCTCAACAAAATGTATTCACAAAAAACACTTTCAGGGTACCTTGGAGAAACTAACTCAAATAATCCAACAAAGTCCTGAAACCCACAGGAAACCAAAGTAACAAAACCAATGACAGGAAGTAGACAGACCCACACAATCACCCGACCAAAGACATCCAGAACCTGGGGGACTAAATACAAGCAAAGTGACGAGACAACGAGAAACACCTGGACAGGACGCAAAGGGTGGAGGGAGCTGATTGGTTAAACACAAAGGACCCGGATGACGAGAACAGGTCACGATAAAAAGGGCACGACGGAACAAAACCAAATGTAATCTTAACAAAAAAAAAAAAAAAAACATAACGCACTCATCTTAATGTATCCATGGCCATCAGGATACAAACGCCACAAAATGGTGAAAAGGCGTCTTTCAAAAGCGTTTCCGTGCACCGTAGCCTCATTTCCAAATTGTAAGCTTGGTTTTATTGTGGGAGCACAATATTTCATAAACAACAAGTGCATTGTATGTGCAAAGTAATCATCTGTCATCAAAAGGCCGCACATTTCCTCATTCATTCCGTTTGAATGCGACGAGCCACGTGATTCTTTTAAATAAATAAATACATACATACGTAAATAAATAAATAAAACGAACGGAAAAAATCCTTTCTTTCACGCATGGGACCTATTCATATTCAAGGATAACCAACTATTTTCTAACGAGACAAATAGAAAGAAGCAGCAGACTGCTGCGTAACTTGTGACCCTCTCGTCGTCGCGGCGATGCGTGAGGTTGAAGAAGGCCACCGAAGGGGGCCCCCCCGCCAACGTTTGTTAACAAACATCTGCTGCCACGCTTCTCCTCTGTCGTTAGAGATTAATGGCTTGTTAAATAAGGTGCTGCTGCTCGTGCCGGAACACTGGCAATGTCAGAGAGTGTTTGCCGTCCTGGAACAAAAAAAAAAAAAAAAAAAGAAAAAAGAAAAGAAATACCATACATGCTTCGGTTGTTACTTAGCCATTAACGGAACCTAAATCGGATATTCGCTATGTGACTTTTGTCAGAAGAGCTAACGAGAGAACAGACACCTCCAACATTGCCCATTTAATTCCCTGGATTAGCTCCAAATTACACGTCACAGATGCTGACCTCTTGCATGTACCTGACCTTTAGCTTTAAAGACTTTTTTTTCGCAGAATCTTTCGAACGGCAAAGTTAATGACCATGTCCTTGGCATCATGCCGACAAAGATGATGCAGGGTCACACTGAGAAAAATGTGTCAAATTACAGAGAGGAGCTAATTTAAAAAAAAAAAAAGTGATCCATAATATTGTGAGGAAAAAAAAAAAGTGAAACTAAAAGAAAGTCAATTTTATTATGAAGGCATAATATTCACTTTTTTTTTGGGTCACAAAATGACTGAATTCTGGTTGGAGCAAATTATTCTTTTACATTTGAAAAAGTCAATTGAAAAGTCATAACGTCATTCTTGTACATTTACTACTTTGAAAAATATTTACATGAATCTTGCTCTTTTTTTAAAATGAAATGTTTTGTCTGAATTGACTTTACTTTCATAAAATCGAGAATAAAATAATTTCTCATGAAATTACAAAACACATTTTCCCTCAGAAAATGAAACGTAATTCTTGCCAAATAGCATCATGCCCAAAATCCTTTTCCAGTTTTCCATCCTTTTACAGTTATCCCATCAAGACAAAATACCAATGTGCTTGCCAAAAAACCTTTTTTTTGGAGGGCGGGGGGTCGGGATGGGGTCTGAAAACATTTTAACAGGACACGTCAACTACGCTAGCCCCCAAGAATAGTAAAAAGAGGGTGCTGAAATGCTCCTTTAATCATCAGGTGTGAAGTAAATTTGGCCAACCATCTTTTGAGTAATAGGGCTAAAACTATTTCAGGCATACTTTTGTTTTGTTTTTTTTTACACAGCCTGCCCAGGTTCATAGTTAAACCCATAACAACGCGCCTAACAACGAAAACGCTTTCGTTCGGCAATGTCCGGCCAGTGACGTCATTTACAGAACGCCGAGTCGCCCCTCAGCCATCATAATGCATTGTGGATTGCCCCGTTAACTGCTCTTTACCATTGTTATCGAGTTATTCGGCGAAATGCCTCGGCGCTCTGTGGCAATGCGTTGTTCCCATTCATCCAAAGAGTTGTTTGAGTGGCCAAAAGAAAAGAATAGAGCACGTAAATGGAGCAGAAAATTGCAACGCCACAGTTTCGTTCTCGCAAAGCGAATGAATTTCATGCCCTTGCCGTCGAACATCCTTTGTGACAAGCACTTAGAAGACCTCGGTTTTCCTCAACCGGACTTGCAAAAAACGGTAGGTGTTGCTGATCAATGAATAACTCTGGCTGTTGTTTCTGAAAACATTTGATTCAAAGTATTGTACATCAACAGGGATGTGATCTCGAGTGAAAACCTTCAAACTATATGAGTGCATGGATGGAATCCTCTGTAATGGTTTACAACTAACAACGCTACCGATATACTGTGCGCAGTGGCCGACACCGCAACAGAATTACCTTCGCAATGACAATGTAGGACACCCACACACTATAACGTGTGCTCTCAGCTAGAATACATGGACCAAGTAGGTATTCCCACCGTGTGCAATTTACAGCACGGAAACAGCATCAAATTGCAAACAATAACGCGAGGCTGATAACGGCAGCCTATATAGTTTAGCGTTCCTCCAATCCTGATAGATCTCGTCTCCACTCCACGTATGGCCGCTCAGGCACATTTTCCGCATGCTGAGCATCTGGCTCGTGCACGTATGGTCCGACATACATCTTGCCAACAACCTCCTCTTCCTCCGACTCTTCAAACATCGAGATCTCCTCAGATAAATTTGAAATGTTGTTTTCCGAATTGATTTCTTTGTACACTTTCTATAGTGAGCCCCCCCGCTATTGTTGTCTTCAAGTGACGTCACACTTGCGGGATTTGACGCTTGTCAGGAATCTCACTTTGGAAAGACGCTGATGTTTTATTGAATATATCTTGTTTCATTACTTTACTTGTGACATAAAAAATATTTCATTTGACGCTTGTCAGGAATCTCACTTTGGAAAGACGATGATGTTTTATTGAATGTATTTTGTTTCATTACTTTACTTAAAAAATATTTCGTTGGGGATTTTCTAAAAATGACTTCACAGTTGACCTTTAAAGAAACAGGAGAAACAGCACCCTTCTTGAATTTTTATTTTATTTAGGATTTTCTAAAAATGACTTCACAGTTGACCTTTAAGGAAACAGGAGAAACAGCACCCTTCTTGAATTTCTTTTTAATTAATTTATTTGTTTTTTTATGACTTTGCATAACTCGCCGTGAGTGCCTGGAATTTCATCACCGGAGACAATCGATACGTCCGACGAGTCAATAAATAAAGTCAGCCACAGATCACTGGTTGCCACAGCGATGACGCATCGCTCCGTTAATCCCGCCTGTTGGGCAGCCAAGGGTGGCTGGACGGACGCTGCTCTCCGCAAAGCACTCCGTCACCCCGGGAAAGGAAGGCTGGCACCGCCGCCTCCTTTTAACGTGGCTCCATTGATTCCATCAAGGCGAGTCCCACGCTGCCCTTTGTGGCGATCACCTTGAACAGTTGGCTGCCGGAGGAACAAGCCTCCCTCTCCCAAAGTCAATGTCTAACTTCTACTTTGAGGCCGATCCTCGCAGGGGCTGCGTGTTTTCTCAAACTTTGTGTTTTAGGAGAATAAA